GTCCCTGTATGCCTTACACATTGAGATGAGACTAGGTCGTATGGTATGCTACCCTTGATTCTAAACTCAATATCTTCCGATCACCATTCATATGCTTTACAAATTGAGATGAGACCAAGCCGTATGCTACCTTTGATTCTAAACTCAACATCTATCTTCCGATCACCATTCATAATATGCCTTACAAATTGAAATGAGACCAAGTCGTATGCTACCCTTGAATTCTAAACTCAATATCTTCCGATCACCATTCATATGCCTTACTAATTGAGATGAGACCACGTCGTATGCTACACTTGATTCTAAACTCAATATCTTCTGATCACCATTCATATGCCTTAAGCCTGTCTCATATCGCGACCTAACACTGCGACCGTACCGACCTACGGTCGTATCTGACCGGAAGTAGGACCTGGCGACCAGACCGACCACTATTATTTTTGCCAACATGTTAAAAACTCCGCGACCATCGACGACCCTTTCTTCTACACGAGCAAGTTGCTCATAGCAGCTCTCACACTGGTCGGTGTCGTATACTGATCGCAGTGCATATAGGTCGTGATAGTGTGAGAGTTAATTGAGATGAGACCAAGTCGTATGCTACTCTTGATTCTAAACTCAATATCTTCCGACACCATTCATATGCCTAAACAGATTGAGATGAGACCAAGTCGTATGCTACTCTTGATTCTAAACTCAACATCCTCCGACACCATTCATATGCCTAAACAGATTGAGATGAGACCAAGTCGTATGCTACTCCTGATTCTAAACTGAATTTTCTCATTACGACGCTCTCAAGATATTTTGTAATATAAGCCTATACTAATGTTTATCACCAAATTTTTATGTTAATTTCGATAAATTTTATTTCTGTTTAGAATAATAAAAAAAAAAAAAATCGCATTATACCAAAGAACTAAATAATTGCTTTTATTTGTCCTTTTTAGATAATTAACATTTGTACCAACGATAGCATGCGTTTTTATGACATCGCTTTATTTCTAAGTTATCCTATCATTGGGCCGTTTGTTACCATATTTGGCATTGCGTACGTAGTTAATATTATTGGACCAGCAGCTCTCGTTGGAACCTCACTCATGCTTATATTTTTCATGTATCAGGTACGCACAAATATTATTATTTTTCTTCTTTTCCCCTTCATTATTATTATTATTAATATTATTATTATTATTATTATTATTATTATTATTATTATTATTATTATTATTATTATCATTATTACTGTACTATCATTAGACCTATTATTATTATTATTATTGTTGTTGTTGTTGTTGTTTTTGTTGTTATTGTTATTAATAGGCCTATGTAATCTGAATTATTATGTAGATAATATTAATAAGTAATATTGTGTAGCACGGAATTAGTAGCAATCATCCTCTAGTATTAATTAGGCTATATCATTTTATAATAAATTATAAAAATGATGACCATAATATACGTTTTTTAAATACACAAACGATTAGGCCGCGTTTATTGTTGTTATTGTGAATATTTGAAATCATTCTTTCTTCACATCGCAATCTCTATGATGAAAAACCAAACAATCTCGTGAGTAGGTAGGATTATCACATCCAATAATCTGTATTTGTATTCATGTTAATGCTATAAATTGTAGTTATTTGTACATTGTAATAGATTTGTACTGCTCGAATTGTTACCAAGCTGAGAAGAAATTGTCTTCGAACCACCGACAAACGAGTGCGCATGATAAACGAGTTGATAATTTGCATTAAACTGATAAAAATGTATGCTTGGGAAATACCATTTTCAAACGTCATATCAGGTAAAATCTCTACGTAACACTACGTGTAAATAGCCCTATGTGTGGATCAATAGTTTATAGCCATAATTATACAATAAGCAATAATAGAATCTTTACATCAATTTACAGAAATACGAAAAGAGGAAAAGAGCGAGCTGCAGAAAGCAGGGTTTCTCACAAGTTTTAATTCGTCTTCGTCGCCTCTAATTTGCGCACTCGCTTCCATAACGACGTTTAGTGTGCACATTGCCCTTGGTAACAGCCTAACGGCCGCGCAGGTAACTGTCCAATTATAATTACTCTGATTTACCAAGAAACGGAGATGGATTAGTGATCCATGTGGAATTACAATGTTGTCTGGTTATTTTTTTTATTTTTAAAAACAATAATTATTATAAATTAGGCCTATATAAATACAGTAAATATATTGATACTGACAGAAGCAATTTATTTTTACGTTTGACGTGTAAACTTTCTTATAAAAATATCCCTCCTGGAGATCATGTTTTGTCGTTTAGAGAACGTATCATACTGATCCATGTTTCGTGTGTCAAGTACTAGGGCAGTATAGAGTGTGAAGACAATTGCCATCAATGGGATTTTTATTTCCAACAAAAGCATCAGTGGCTTATATTAAGACATGTATAGTGGGTTCAATTTCCGGTTGGGTGATATTTTTATATATAGGCCTACTGTATATAAATAAATCGATTTAAGAAGGTGTGCGCTTTGTACAGACTGTAGACCTACAAAATTTCGTTCGTTTAATGTTATAACGCTTAAAAAGATAATCATTCTATATTTTATAGGCATTTACTTACATTGCTGTAATCAATTCAATGCGAGTATTGTACCTTCAGACACCGAATGCTGTTCGATGCATGGCGGACTGTGCAGTAGCAGCCCAAAGGATGAAGGTGAGTTTGACCATGAAATTGTTATGATACATAAAGCCAGACTTACGCTGGCATGCTGGGCCATATAACGAATAAAGAAAACAAGTTAAATTGAACATCTAGGCCTACCTGAAAGTGAGACTTTCATAAGTCATCGTGTTAAGTATGAATAAATAATATAAGTTGAATTGTAAAAATCTAAATTTAAATTACAATATGGGCCTATGAAGTTTATGATACGATGTTTAAATAAATAAGGAAATTTTCCGCGATTTTCAATACCGCTTTTGCTGATAGTGTATGCCAGCGTCCGGGTGATAAAAGAGTATTTCCGCTATTCTTATCATCATCCAGTTGTAGATGTATTTTACGATAATCAGTTAATTATGTAATGTTCAAAAACAATCAATGTACATGATTATGTGGTTTTACGTAAAGTAATATTAATGATAAAGATTCAACTATTAGGTTCATGAATCCAATCTCAATTTGTAAACCTACAATTCTTTTTGAAAAAAAATAACTATTACCACGGTCATTGTAACAAAAACACAAAATATAATTAATTCCATAATTTCAGCATAATTGTTTGTACCTACTAGGTATCCACTCATATACCTGAGTCAGGCCCGTAGCCAAAATTTACAAAAGGGGGTTCTGAGCATTGGGTAAGGGACGTCACAAAAGAGCCAAATCCTGTTTAGAGTTTTTAAAGCGTACGGTACTTCGTGCAGTTAAAAAATAGACAAAACAATTTCAATGAGATAGGAAAAACTGGGTATGTGACAAGAAAGATTGTTTTAGCGTTTATGTGCTATATTAAAAGGTTTGCTGGACAAGGTGGTGGGGGTAGGGCTTCTCTGAAAAAGAGGGTTTGGAAAAAACAAACCGTACACTGTAAAAACAGCGTGGAGCATTTAAGCTCAAAGCTCCACGCAATGTTGCCCCGTTTTTGGTGACACGTTTAAAAGCTAAACGTATTTAGGTCCGGCCTAATGTGTTTAGGTTTTTGACGTGTTTAGCATTAGATGTGCTTAGGTATTTGACATTATTATTTCAAATACCTAAGCACATTTAATGTTAGACACGTCAAGATCCTAAGCACATTAAGCTATGACTAAACACGTTTAGCTTTTAAACGTGTCACCAAAAACGGTACAACATTGCATGGAGCTTTTTGTTTAAATGCTGCACACTGTTTTCACAGTGTATGTAAAAGAGCCTTGCCCAAAAACACAAGCGAAATTCACAACGAAGTTTGAAGCTCTGAACTCGATGTGAAGAGACCAAAAATGTTATTATAAGTAAAGCCATATCACATTAATTATAACTGCTCCTGGTATAGCATATCCGAACTAGAAATATAAATTTATAGTAAAATTTATATAAAAAAGTTATGTTAATGAAACGTATGGTTTTTATCTTGCAGCAACTTCTCTTGATTCCTGATGCACAAGTAAAAACACCCAAACCTAGTAACCATGAACATTCTATTGAAATTGTTAATGGAACTTTCGGATGGAACTCGACACCAAATGAAAAGCGACCAGCTTCAGAATCAGACGTCAACCCTTCTGAAGAAAATACGTTAATAAATTCGGATGACGTCATCGATGTTATATTTGATATAAATTTGAACGTCAAGAAGGTATATTTTTCAATAAATAAAATTCTTTATACTTGGGGTATAATGGATGACAGTAAAATGGTTAATAAAATGTGTGTACACCTTTATGTTAGTTATAATTGACTCGCTGATAGATAGGCCTATTAAAAAAACTAATGTTTAGTAGGCCTACGAATAATTTATATACCATATTTAAAATGTACAATATGCTTGTTGTATATATATTATTAAATAGAAAGTATTTCAGTAGAATGGCGACTCGAATCTTTAGTTTGGTTAATAAGATGCTCACACTTAAGTTCCAGATAAGGTTCCCCCGCACCCCCAGCATACGCCCATGTTATATCCTCATAATTAAAGTTTTTGTTGGATGTAAATAGGAATAAAGTAAGTACATTTTATCTACCTTTAGGGAGAACTGATTGGAGTTTGTGGATCTGTTGGAAGTGGAAAGACTTCCCTGTTGTCGGCTCTACTATGCCAAATGGAACAATCAAATGGTTCCATAGCAACCGACGGCTCATTTGCATATGCTGCTCAAGAACCAATGATTCTTAATGAAACCCTGAAAGAAAACATTCTGTTTGGAAATGAATTACATAAACAAAAATACGATTCTGCATTGTTTAGTTGCTGTCTACAACAGGACATTGATATACTTCCATGTGGTGATGAAACAGAGGTAGGTGCAATAGGAGGCGCTTATACCACCGGTGGGCAAAGTGTGGCCAGCGAACCACATGCAGCCCGACGACACAAATCCCATTTGACGCTTAACCATACTTGGCTCGAAAAATGCACTATTGTTGAACCCACTGATCATTAGTAAAAGTATTATTTAAAAAAGAACAATAAAATAATAATGATAATACAATGTAATTAAAACATGGTTAAGTTGAATTGAACAAAATTTAATGATGGTTAATTTGAATTGAACAAAATTTAACGATTTTAATGCAAATTGGAAAGTAAATTTTGCATTTCACATTGGCACTTTGACGATTATTATTATTATTTAAATTTTATTATTATTATTATTATTATTGCTATTACTATTATTGTTATAGTTATTATTATTATTATTATTATTATTATTATTATTATTATCATCATCATCATCATCATCATTTTGATTGTAAAATAGAAATTAATTAAACAATTAACTAAATATTTTGTGTTATTTCTTCAAATATCAATGCTAAAGATTGGAGAGAGAGGAATAAATTTAAGTGGAGGGCAGAAACAGCGAGTAAGTTTAGCGAGGGCGCTATATGCTGAAAAGGATATTTATCTGCTCGATGATCCATTGAGTGCTGTCGATGTCCATGTTGGCCAGCACATCTTTACGAATGCTATAAAAGAAGCACTGAAGGACAAAACTGTACTATTTGTCACGCATCAACTGCAGGTAGGCTTAGTTTAGCCATCTCGTCTAAATTGTCCAACCCAAACCATTGGGTGCTTTATATTTCCTCAACATTGCTTTTTCTATGCACTCATCGGTCGCAGTAGAACATAAGTGTCGCAGACGAGCAGATATTTACGGAGGAGGCAAAGACACAATATAGAATTTTTAAAAATTCATTTATTAATGACTTTGTAGTATATACAATACGTATTATTCATTTACGTAGACTTTAATGAAGAAGCAAATTATACACAATATTATAAAATCAGTAATAATATTAAAATCCGAACAAAATCAGCTACAAGATACGTTAAAATTTAACACTAGGTTGTATAAAACCAGGTGTCTAAAAATCCCTGACTTCTAATGTATTTTTAGCACTATATCGTATCGCACATATGTTTTACATAATTCATTGGTAACATAAAATAAATGAATGTTAGTTCTTGCCCTCTTGGAATATGAACGTCCAAGAATGAACGAAGTAGTCGTGCTGTAATAAATCACGTTGATCTAAAATTTGTAAATCCGACCGATTTTTCTTATAAACATCGGTTATGTTTTTCATAATCTATAGTTCTTATATTCTATTGCAGTATCTTAAACAATGTGATAAGGTTCTCATGTTAAAAGGTGGAGCGATTGTTGAGGCTGGACCATTCCAAGAGCTTTTAGCCGCGGACAAAGAGTTTTCTAAACTCATCAATAAGTACTATAATGACCTCAGTGAAAGTGAATCTGATTTCGAAACGGCAAAAAATAGTGAGGCGGGAAAGCACACCAGTAGCCTGGACAGGTGTATCTCTACTTCAACTCTTACACCTGCACTTTCAGCAGATTGCTTGTCAATAGAAAGTAAGTATGCCAAGGTGGCACTATGCGCTTTTTCACAAACATCTCGAAGTCGCCTGGGCAGTTTCGAAAACCCAAATGTCTGTTTATTTTTTTTTTGTAGAACCATAAATACGTATATAAACTAGGTCAAAGAACTTGGCAAAAGAATAAGCTCTTAGGTAGTTTAAATTACAACTGATGGAACGTCCGCCTTCCCTTGAGTGGAAGAATTGACCATTTTGACCGAGTGGAGAAACTACAGAAAACAAATGGACCCAAACAGTGCCCTTGATTATGAGATGTAACGCCGCCGTTTGGATGGAGGAAAATTGCTTTTTTATGGACGTTTCACTTACTATATCGCGAACTGTTGTATCTTCTATTATTGTCTATGACTAAGCCTATGACAAATAAGTAACGTTGCAACGTTGCTTCAAAGTTGTTTTAATATAAGGTTTCTGATTAACCTAACTACAGCGTTCGCGAACGTTATAAAAACATTTTATGTTTGATACGTAGGCGGTCAGCCACGGGGCGGATCCAGAATTTTTCAAACAGGGGGCACAACAGTTTCAGAATAGGTAAGTGAGTAGCACATAACATTGATTTGCATTGAATTTTTAAAAATTTAGTGGCAAAATGTGGGGGAACGTTCCCCCGTGCCACACTACTGGATCCGCCCCTGAATCCTTATTTCTGAGTTTTGTTCATCGATATGATATTATTCTGATTTATTAAACAATTGGGTAATAATGTAATAACAACTGATAATATCATTATTTGTTTTGAGATAGCTCGTTTGTTCCCTCAATAAGAAATATAAACCTTTCTCTATC